CAGCATCGTTTTATAGGGGGTTTTAAATAGGCAATTTAAAATACTTTTTGAACATAATATTAATATAAAAATTTTTTTATAAAAAATGTTCCGACTCTGGCCAAATAACCGTTTTTAATTTCCGGAATCTGGCGATAAATATTCCGGTACCATTAGTATGTTTTAGAATTTATATAAGTTTCGCCCGATTATTTTTTGGATTAACACGGACTTTCGGGAGAATTAGTCTAGGACCTAGGTAAGGTCTATTTAAAATAAATATGGAAAAAATGACCATACATAAAAATAATTACATATAAAACCATGTTTTTGGGTGACTCCAAAATATGTACATCGTATTTTTACTGAATTTAGTTTTTGACATTTGAATACAAATAAGACAAAAAAGATTTAATTTTCTTTTAATGAAATATAGTATAAACAAATAAACAAAACAGGATTTAATAAAACTGAATAAAACAAATGATAAAATGTGTATGTATATTTACCTATTTCTGTCCATACACACATACACATTTTTGTAAAACGTAAAATAATATTAAATAATAAATTACTACATTTTTAAAAACACATGGAATAAAGCTTATAGGTTTTTAAATATTAAATATTAATGAAGATTGCTACTATTCAAAAAAACTTTTTTTTAGGTTATTTTTAAGTTAGGTCATTTTTCCTCTAATCATTTTTGTACTTGAAATATTTTAGTATAATATGATCATTTTTAATGTAGATGTAAATTCTAAACATCAATATTTATGCAATCGCATGATTAATTTTAACATGTAAGCTAAGTTATGAGCATTGAGCCGATAAACCATCCTGTATGGCTGTGTATATATGTACAAAAAGAATCTCTATTTCGTAATTATTTTGAAAACGAATCCGAAAAAAAGAAAAAAAGTTGTACTAAACCTTTAACATCTTATGAAATATTCGTAGGTTATATAATGCAACAAAGGAAAATTAATAAATACATTTTTGTCAAATAAAACAAGATTTATTTGATTTTTTTTCAACACCAAACAACATATAATATATATAAAGCTGGTAATTGGATATAATATATAGTCAATCAGAAGCACACCAAAACGTACAATATATTTTTTGAATATAACAATATATTACGTGTAAGTATATGAATATACTTATTGCGTAGTATTTTGTATGAAACCGTTTAATCGAAAAACGAAAACAAAAATAGTTATCATATGATACGTAAACGTAGACTTGAAATCACAAATATAACACGATGAAATGTCAAGATATGTGTACAAAATTTTTGTCTAACGTACTCATAAAATATTTGGATGGTATATAAATGTTATTATTTTATAATAGTTGCATTTAAATATTCAGCCGATTTAATAAAATATACATAAAAAAAAAAAATTACAAGTCCTTAACAATTATGAGTATACTAACATATTTTTATATATACTTATAGAAAGTATAATATAATGTACAAGAATATCAGTGTATCGAGAATATATTTTTTGACAAAAAAAAAAAAAAGGAAAACAATTACATCACATTGGAACGGTAAAATTTTAAAGGAGTCGATAACGAATATCAATCTTTTGGTTGTAAAAACCACACTTGAATTATTATACGCATTCGTCATATTTAATAGTATACCTACCAGTTATGATTATTCAATAACATAATTACCTACTGCATCAGTGGCGACCGCCCAAACGACCTCAAAATATTATGTACTGACTGTATATTATCATCGTTATCGAGTCATAAACAATCGCGGAAAAAACAATTACCTATACTATATAATGTTAAATTTATAACGTCATTTTCGAAATATACTCTAGTAAAAAAGAAATAAACGAAAAATGATGTTGGTGCTTTCGTATTTGTGGGTCTGCCGGCTGCGAAGGCCCAAAATATTACTTTTGCAATTTTATTCGAATTTGAGTTTACTAAGCTGTAATGTAGGTGGAATGACGCAGGATACGCCTACCCGGATTTCTATAAGGAAATTTCAACTAACGATTAATAATGTTATTTTATGGACAATTGAGTCAAAAAATGTATTTTATTATGTTTTTTACGCTACAAGACGTAATTAATACTGGATAGTTAAAAAGATTATATTTGATTGACCATCGAGCATTAAGTTTCGGAACTGAATAATTACCATGTACGATGAATGATGACGTTATTAGATGTAATATTATCATTGTTGTCTGCGGGGAATCGAATATGTTAAAAGAAAGTTGTTACCGACTGCGACAGTTCGTATTATTTTTTTGATACCACACAAATATATGTCGTATATGAGGCACATAAATAATGAGTACATGGGCTGGGTACCTCTATTATATTTTGTGTAGTTTCTGTTTATGCTTTTAAAATCGATAACTTATAATAGGTAGCTTAAATATATAAATATGATATTATAAACATATAGTAATAAAAGCATTTAAATAATGATAATAATAATAATAATAATATATAACTTAATATATAAGCCAAAATCCATCGATTACGATTAAACACAGCTTACAGTAACTAACCCGTTTGAGCGCCATGATGTGACGTTAAAAGTTCCAACACACTTTAATATAATCTTAATAATATTCTGTAGTAAAAATACAAATTAACACTTAATAAGTAGGTTTTCATAGAGCCTATTCATGAGTAGGAAAAAAAAACAACACATTATAAATGCAATTATAGCATATAACATCGAAAACATAATTTTTATAAGTATTATAGAAGACATTTTTCAATCATTATTACTATTTGTTATAAATATAATTTTTTGATAGCCAATAACACATATAATTATAATTTATACCTTCGACGGGTTGACAAAAACAATGCGATGAATACTAAAAACTCATGAAATCATTCAACATGCGCTTATAAATTGTAACATAATATGTGTTATGTGTATATTTGTACGGCAAGTGCCGAATGTCCGAATGATTGATCTGGACGAGCGACGGTTACTGTCAAACATTTTGTGGTATAATATAGTTTTTAAAGTATTCATGTGCTTTTTTTTGCCGCGATCTGATCGTGAAAAGTGATAAATATTGTTCGAATGTACAACGGTGCCAAACGTGGCAAATATTTTCCTAATAATTATAATCAGATAATACTATAATGTAAAGGCATAATATAAATATATTGTTTATCACATCGGATATAGCGTTAGTCGTGGAAGTTTTAAGTGTTAATAAGATTATTGTAATGCAATATTGTCACGTAAATTATTCCCTGCTTAAAACAACATTGAAGATCGAGAGACCACTGTGCCGAAATAAGACGTTAATGTAGGTTTTATTAGGTAATTAAAGTTAGTGTATGGGGCATATAGCTAGATTGCAAATTTAAACATTTTTATTTTTATTTTTATCTATGTATTCATCTAATTGGTTTCAGTTCGCGTTAATAGTTATTCGACGAGAGAGAACACATGGCTTAATTTTCAAATAAAAAACGATTGATTAATTTGTATTCTTTCGTTTAATGCTATAGTGCAGTTAGTGACAACGCGTAATATTTTGCACGACAAAAAGGAAAAATTAAGTAGCGCGTATACTATTCTATTATAATATATTATATAATAACTGTGCTTTAAACATTTATATTTAATATCAACCGTCAAAACAGGGTATTTATTTATATGTATACAACATCAACACACAAATTAATTTTTCAATTTTTTCAAAAAAATTTACCGGTTTAACAGATATACCGACTACGATTTAATGATGGTAATAATTATAATGGTTTGAGACTGCAACATAGGCTGGTAAAATCGTTCGCCAAATCGAATAAATTGTGATTCAAACTGATAATGAAATAACTCAATCGGTTATTTTATCCTAAGAAGTCGAAGATACAACAAGATGTATTAAGTGGGCATTATATATGTGTTATGAGAGGTCAGATTATGATATAACAGGTTTAGCGTACGGATTACCTCGTGACAACTAGTCAATGCGGTATAAAATGAATTGTAGGTACTTAAGGAATCCGCGATTTCCGGATATTAATATTCAAAAATTTAGCCCGAGAACAATTAATGTCGTGTATACGTAAAACGAAACGCGCCCGATCTATGAGCGAGATATAATAATCTAAAACTCAACATAACACACAAATTAAACCTAAAACCTATGTAGAGGATTACAAACTAATGTCATTAGTTGCTCAAACACTATATTATGATAAAATTGTGTGTAATGTCTGTGTGCGTATACGTTGTGTATGTGATAGGCGTGTTTAATGTTTATTTCACACGTTAACAAAGTAATAAATTAAAATATTACATTATAAATAATCGACATGCAAAAATAACGTAGATTGTCGTATCTAATTAATGCGTGCGATTTTATAATGAGATGACTGTAGTAAAGAAACAACAAAGTAAACAGAAATGAAAAACGATGCCCTTGTAGGTATTAATGAGAATGATTTTCTATTTGGAAAAGTAGTATGACATGCTATGTGTTTGTGGTTTGCGGAAAAAATAAAATGTATGAGATAATAAAAAAAAAAATTTACAAAAGTAGTAACGTACAAAAAAATGAATATATTGTTATAATCGATATTTCTTGTATAAATTGTACTGTATCTTGTTTGCTTTTTTTGTATTTTTTCCAAATGACATAATATATCGTTCTAATAATGAATATTACTAAAATATGATGTTAACAAAATCAAAGATAGAAAATAATAATACAATAAAAATAATAATAATAATAACTTAAAGTTCTAGGTACGAGAAGTTATATTATCACAATTAAATTAAACAAAGAAAACAAATATATAATTTAATGAAAAAAAACCCCTTTTTGCAGTGCTTTCGAGAGCATCAAAATAAAATTATGATGTTTTATAATGTAATATAAATATATAATATGTATATATTATTAATTTTTATTAATTTGTATACTATATGAAAAATAGTAATTTTAAAACGGGCTAAAATAAAATGTCGTTTATGGATTATTTACAAAATAATATGTGTGATAACAATGAGAGAAAATAATAATAGTCAAAATAAAATAATAATAAATTATCAAAGGCAAAAATAATAATCAAATATACGTCTACTGCTCTTGCTCCTGTTGTTTTTCCGGTTCTGTTGATTCCTGTTGTTCTCGTGGTTCTTCCAAATTTTCGTGCAACAATACAGAAATCGAGTCCTTGACCGCATGGAACATGATGTTCTTGATCTGCAGTTTGTCCTCATGGTTGCTGTGGTTGCTGGACAGGTCACGGAATTCGTTCATCAATCGGAAACACTGGGACACGTTTTCAGGCGACACGAAGTCGCCGGCCACCTTGATACAGCTATGTAGATTTCTTACCTGTGAATGACACATGAGCATACGTTTAATGTCGAGCAATGCGAAAAATGATAATGAATATTATATCGGGTCAGTGAATAAACGACGAAGAATATGACGTTTTCGTAAATATTGTATCCAAATTATGGAAGGTATATATTTAACAATGACAATACGTAAATATATCATATAATAATTGATTAGACTAGAATAATTATTTTATCGTTGTATAGGTACCTGATGCGGGGCTCCGGCAGGGATGAAGATAGCGTCGCCGAGACACTGTACCACTGCATAACCCTGGACACCATATTCGGTATACAACCGCGCCCTGAGATCTGCGTCCAAGTATGAGGATTGGTCGTGAATGGGATCGTGGTTGGGTTCCAGTGGTTCACCACGTTCAGCACTCACTTTGTTCAACAAATCGCGTATCGAGTCTGCGTCTTTGGCGTGATAAATGTGCCACACTGCGCCTGGCAACTCTTTAGTCTCGCGGGCCCGTCTTCTACTTGCCATGTCGCAGCCAGCTTCATCGACTGCCCGATACGCTTCTGTAACATCCATTATAAAGACAAATGAATTAATTTATCAAAAATACACAGGACTGTAGGCGTGTAAGACAAAACTAAAAAAAACATATTCATAAAATAAACCGATTAAATAAACTAAATAATATTATAGATTAATAATTAAAATCTACTATTATAAATTGTATAAAAAACAATTAGTATAAAAGTGAACGCAAAAGAAAACGAAAATAATAACATAAAAGATAAAAATGAATTGAAGCAAAATACATGTTTAATATATGTTCTTAGAAAATAGCACATCGCACAATTAGGCATTAGCGATTATAAAATAGAAAAATCGGCCAACTAGACAAGTAAACAATTTTTTTAAATCTTAAATTATACGATGGCTGAAATATAATTATCATATTACAGTAATGAATGGATAAAGAAATTTTTCTTTGTTGGGAAAAACATATCATAAAATAAATATGTTTTTTGATTATAAAGAAGCAATTATAATATTATAGCTACAAGATATATTCGTCACAATCGTAACTGTAATACAACATATCTACGTCACCATATCCACTGATAAAATCATAATAATTGTGATAAAAGAGACGTTTTACGAATTTCAGATAGACTCCAAGCTAAAAGATATATAATATACATAATATCATAAAATTCGTTGAAAATGATTTAATACAAGTATGATTTTTGATTAAGTTCAAAGTAATTCAAAATTAATTATTATTTATCGCAGCAAGACAGAAAAAATATATAAGGTAAATAGAAAATACTGATTCGCTTTTGTACATTAGTACTATTGCTCAAATTACTTACCCTTTACATGCCATTCGTGATCAGCTTCGTCGTCTTGGTTTCCATTCTTGTGGGAAATAGCCACATACACCATTACATTAACTGCATCCGACACGTCCAAATGTAAATTGGTTGTACTTATCAACCGTTTGCCGGAATCGCGATTTCCGACATTACCATAAGCCGAGTACATTTTTGGTCCAAGATCTGGTCGTACAAAACATGCCGGTAATCTAGCAGCTAAATTAAGTTTACCGTCGCGTAGAGTATAATCTTTTAACGGCAACACCCTCATTAGATCATCAAATCTGTATCGGAAAAGGCTAAATACATTAAATTCGTTTTACTGTTCAAGAAATTATAATAATAACTGAAAATAAATTGAATGTTATCAAAGAAATTAGTTACCTTTCCGGTAAAGTGTCCGAAAAATCAGAACCAACTGGCCAGTCTTTTAGTTTCAACAACATTTGTTTACCATCCACACTCTTCAGTCTCTTGCTTTCGTCCTCGAAACCGTCCCAAAATTGTTTCATAGTCTTGCCCTCGATAAGCATGCCAGTCGCGCAGTCTATCAGGTCGTTAGTGAATTCACCGAAGTCGCGACTAAATGAATTAGGACTCCAAAGTGCTGGATTTAATCTTTGACCTACGTCACTGACCATCACCGGCTGACCCCTTTTCCATTGTTCCTGCAAAAACACCCAACAATTGCCGTTAAAAATATGTAAGTATTTGATTCAGTTATATAATTTCACACGTCAAGTAAATATAACACTAATTTAATAAGATATAAGAGCCATCAATAAAAAAATGTATTAGATGCGAAGATCCTAATTATATATTTTAATAAGTATATACAAATTGTTATTTTTATAAATATATATGAATAACTGGATAAGAATTTACTTGAAATATGTCGTAGTTGGTTGGATCCTCAGGATCTAAAAGTCTCAATAATTTTCCGTCACATAACCACGTATGAGGATTGTTCGGGAAAAATTCTCGGCTCTCTGCCAATGTCATTACACGTGGTGGAAGCGGTTCACGTGGAATAGTTCTCAGATATTTATTTTTCTTTCGGACAAAGTGTTTTAAGCCCTCTCTTTTACCGGGATCAGATTGAACACTCACTGGTCTACCATTTGAGCTCTGCGAAATAAAAAATAAAATAAATAAGTAATTTAACTATAGTTTATTTTGTATATGTTTATTTTACCCCGGCAATTTGTGGTTCGATGTTAATAGTATTTTGGGAATGGCCATTATTCTTAGATCCTTCGGTAATATTGTTCGACGAGCTTTCAGCCGGACTATTTAACGAGTTCTCAGTAGCGCCATTTGTCGAGTTCTCGGCCGGAGTAGTTTTAGAATTCTCAGCTATTTTGATTTTTGAGTTATTTTCAGATTCGTTTTTCAAGTTCTTGGAAGAACTGGTTTCAGAACTTTCAGCAAGACTTTGTTGAAAATTATTGGCATTTGAAGTACTTGCTTGTGGTATCAAAGGCTCATCATCATCGTCGTCATCAGTACTGACGTTATCCTTAAAACATTGGTAATTAAATGAATAAATATAAAACCATTTTGACGAATATACCAAATTCAATATTTTATATATTTTTAATTTTTAAGAATTTAATTTTTACGAGTGATCAGAGATAAATAATAATAAAGCAACCAGGTAAGCAACTGCTTAACAGTATTTTAATAACTAGGTATGATTGTTAAGTATATTGAAAAAATTAAATATATTTAGAGGCAGAAATAATAAAACACGAAACTGAATCGAATGAATAATAAGCATTTTAAAAATAAATTGTGATTTAAGTCTAAAATACATTTATTTTTATTATTTATATAATAAAATAAAATTAATAAAAGGCCAGACAAGATTTAGAGACCAAATTTTGTTACTCATCTTACTACGCCTATTTTAACACAAGATAACTAATACAATAAATTATTATGATAAATATCATAAGCTTTGATTTACCTAGTAACTGTAGCACTATTTACATGTTAAAGTGTTTAAAAAAATTATGGATTATTTAAAATATTGTAACAATTATTGAATTGAGTAGATTATTAAATAAAATTGTAAAAGTATAAATGTAATTAAAATATATAAATAAATTTAACATCAACTAAAAAAAAAAAATGTCGTTCAATTTATATCGAAATAAATATTTACCTGTAGCTCAGGGAAAGGATGTCCTGGACAACCACATTCGATGGCAATATTCCACAAAGTACTGACTCTATGCAAATCTGAGAATACAACATCCATGGAGTCACTGGCTACGATTTGTGTAAGCATGAGCCGTTCAACGTCGTGATTATGTTTACTGTTACAAGTCATCCACGTGAATGTGTCCCTTTCTCGTAGATCCTTCTTAGTCATAGTCGCGGCATTTGGCGACTTAGATGAGCCATTGAGACGCGCCTACACAACAACCGTATTATAATTGTTTTAATTACAAGAAAACAATACTATTACGCGAAAAAAATATTTAAAATCAAACTTGGACTTCGTAAATATGTGATTCTCGATTTAACATATAGTATATATTATACATATAAGCAAAGAGAACACGTACATAATAATTTTCTTAGTGGAAAGTATGAGTTATTACGAATATACTATTGAAAATAAAAATAATTTGATATTTAAGGTATATAATTAATTTTATAGGTAACCAAAGTAAGGTTTTATTATTATAATATGAATTATTAAATTAATCGTGGTTATTTTAGTTTTTAATCGCGATTGTGTTTACAATTTTTAAATTGTATTCACTCATATTTATACAAATATATTAAATACATTCATGCACACATATTAAGAGATACAAATATATCATAATTTCTAAAAATATATTTTTTTGCATAATTTAATTTATTGGTGTATAGTTATATTATTCTCAGTTTGTTAAATCTTTTATAAAGAATAGTATCAAAAATAAAAATTAAAAACCGTATGCGTTTTGAGTTTAACGATTATATTTATATTTCATAAAAAAAAAATCATACCTTAACACAATCAATGCAAACTCCAAAACCACATTTTGCGCATGCCCAGTGGTAGTTAAAAATAGTTGTAAGACAAACGTCACACATTTCTCTTACACCATTCGCTGCTTTTTTCCATGCAATAGGTTTGCCTGTAAAACAAATAAAAAACAATTTATTGATTCACTTTAATTACGTTAAATTAATTACCTTGGAAATATGGTGAGAGAGTAAGAGCTTTATTTTCTTCTTTTACTAAATAGCAAAATTGACGACCAGCTTCAACTAACACTTTTTTTGCAACTTCGACATCTAACGAACTTGGTGGACATTTCGGGTTAGGTAGCCAAAGGTTCGCATCGTCCTAAGATTAATGTTTATTTAACAAGTTAGGTTTTTTAAATTTTATCATAATAAGCCCAAACTTACTTCAGTTATATCCAAGAAAGGATCAGGGAACCCAGCATTCATAAATTGTCCAGTTTTATTTGTGAACAGCCGACGAAATGCGTAGAACCGGCAAAATATATTATCAATTTCATCTTGTGTCATAACATCATTTTTCTTATTGTTTATAAATATACGGCATTCTCTACATTTATGTATTTTTGGCCCAGCATTTAAACATGGGCCCGATTGAAAAAACCGCACTTCACCGTCATTATTTTTTCCTTTTTTTAATGGTATACTTACAACAACCTTGGGTTTTCTACCTCTTTTTTTAGGAATCTTAATGGGTGGAACTTTCTTTTCTACTATTTCCAAAGGTTTGGCATTGTCTGTTGTGCTTTTATTTTCTGAAGTTGTTACGGGATTTGAAATTTTTCTTTTTTTGCACTTTTTGTTCCCATTACCCGATGTCGACGGTTCGGTATGTGAACTACTCGTGCATGGCAAAATTACAGGAGGCGATGTCACCTCAGTATTATCATCTGATGAGCTTTTAGAATTTTTTCTTTTTTTAGTAATTTCACACTGTAAAACTGGAGGAGTATCATCTATTTGAGAGAAAGAATGGGATGGAGTTTGGTCGATATTAACGCCTGCTTCTTTTAAATCTTCTGCCCATACATGGCGTTGTAACCAGGCTTTCTTTAACTTGTGATGATGAGTTTTAATTCCGCTTGACATTTCAGTATAAGTAGCAGGCATTAGAACCGGGGGAGGTGTAGATGGAGAAGAATCGTAGGTAGTTGTGTTAGTTATTGGGATATTTGAAGAGGTTGACACCAAGCTTGCTGTTGTAGCAATAGCTGACGATTTGGCTGTCAAACTCGTAACCGAGACTGATGCAGGAGTAATAGTTGAAATCTCCATTGAAGCTGTGGACGGAATGATTTCTAAATTAGAAGTTGAAATAGTCTTTGAATCAATCATTACAACAGTAGACGGAATAGAAGCTGGGACTTTTGTCAAATTATCTGTTGAAATGGTTATTAATTTATTTGATGAAAGTGTCGTCGATAAGATCGCTGAATTGGTAGTCAAATCGCTTGTTGATGTCATCAGTGATGAGTTAACATTATCATTTTTAGGCAAATACTTTTCTAAATAGTTTTGTTTTTTAGATTTAATACAAACATTTATATCAAGTGTGTTTGTGGTATCTTGAGAATCTGATTTAGCATTTTTGTAGTTAGCATTTAAATGTAAAGGAACATCAGTTTCAGGTGTAATTTTTTTATAAATCATAACTAGATCTAATGCTTCCGTTTGGAGATCGTCTACTGGTACTGCAACAGGTACAAATTTTGGTAGGGCACTAGACATCATTGCATTTAAATGTGCTGGAGGAGGCATGTCCAAATCCCTTTGAGCTTTATCAGTTGAAGGTGGATACAAAGCGTAACGACCATGAGTATTTAACAGTGGCCCAGGATGATGTGGTTCTGGAGAAGAGTTGTGACCTTTTGATTGACTAGTATTGACCAGAGATGATAATGGCCTGGAATAATGCATTGATTTGGCTTGTTTTGGTTCTTTATTAGTTTCTAATTTTACAGCAGGGACTGTGAGAATAGTAGGAGCACGATTATATGAATAAGCTTCTGGTACAGGTATCGATGAGTTTTTGTACGAAGACTCATTTCTAACTATCACTGATGAATTAGAAGGAGGTACATACACATGATTTGCATTCATGTAAGGAGCATATGAGATCATATTATTATGGTTTCCACCTTCGCTGGCATTGGTTAATGCATTTTCATGATCGGAATTCGATTTAGGAACAGTCCGGTTTCTGTAATGAGCTTGTTGCTATAAACATACATATAATAAAAAAAGTTGTTATGTAAGAAAACTAATTTCCAAAAATGTAATCAATTAATTTATTTATGTTTTGTATATATTAAACGAAAACTATACATGATATATATTATTCTTAATAGGAAAACATTGCTTTCAAATTATAAATAGTATAAAATATATATTCCATACCGTATACACAGGTATATATTGTAGATACATAATTAAATATAAAATATTTGTGAGATGAAGACAGCATAATATGGACGTAGTGTGCTATTAAGTGTTAAGAATTTAAAATCCATGGATAAATTATAAAAATTTCAATCATTAAGTGTACCTTTATTGAATGTACATATCTATAGTAATTTAATGTAGAGAACTACTTCACTACTTAGAATCATCAAGGATTCATTTCTACTTGATATCTATTGCATTTTATATTATATGTATATATATTTAATAGTATCGAAAAATAATTGACGATTTAAATTATACTCAAATATTTTGAACCCAACAAAAATATAAATGATTTTAGAAAACACTTTTTGAGCAGGTAAAAAAAAATTTTTTTTTAAATGGTTTCATATAGTCTCTCTGTAAATTTATATTATTTATACTTTAAATAGATTAATTATTATCGAAAATTTACAAGAATAAAAAAAAAATTAATACTAAGTAATTTTCACAACAATTCAAAAAACTGAAAAAAGGTCAATTTTTTAATTAACCTTTAAAAACAAATTTACAACTTGTGGGATCAAATATTCTTTGTTCTGACATACTATAAAATGTTAATAGAAAATAGCAGTTAAATATATTGAAATGTATAAAATACAATATATATTCCGTGTCCTGCAAAATGTTTGTAATATTAAAACTATCATGATTCATGAGACATTTTTATACACAAAAAATTGATTTAGTAATGTTAATATTAATTTTTCAATTTTTTTTTTTGTTGGAAATGTTTGTGATTATACACGTAATACAGTATTTAAGACGTAAGCCTGAGATTTTTAGTATACTATAATATTACATCATTATTTATAATTTATAAGTATATATATTTGAAACTCTTAATTCTAATTAATATATTTTATTATTTATTCTTAAGCTTATACGGAAATAGTTATTAATTAATATAATTATCTTTTAAAAGTAATTAAAATTTAAAAAATCACTAACATTGAAACTAATTTATAGATCTTCTCAAAATTATTTTTTTTTAATTAGGTCTTAGGTTGTCATTAGTTTTTACGAAAATCTTTAACTGATAAAAAATTGTATTTCATTATAATTATTTTTTAACTGCAAAATATATTTTTAAATATTCGTTAACATAAATATATTTAAGATTATACTTACGGTTGAAGGTCTAGAAGATGAAGGATCAACCATTGTTGATCTAGGAGATGCATATTTGTTTTTCTTTTCTTTCCAATCGTCGATTCCTCGATGATTGGCCGTTTGATTTGCGCCATTTAGAGATGGATGTCTTTGCTTAGATGTATCTTGAGTCTTGGATCCTTGACTTGGGTACACATTTTTCGGCGGGGAAGGTAAATTTGATATCCAATTGGTTCTCTAATAAAAACAATATTTAAATAATATATAATGTTATATTTTATACAAAAAACTTTTTTCAAATAAAATTTATATACATTCATTGTTTAGATACAATAAAAGTTGGGTGATTGGATTTAAGTTGAGTATATATTTATTTAATAAGTTTGATTGATTTAAAAAGACTATAATACAATTATCCGTAAGCAAATATTGAGAACCATCCTAGCAAACATTTAAGTATATAATATTTAATTTAAACGAATCAAATCTACGATAAATTTATAGTCTATAGAGTTGATTGGGTACTAGGGTAATATTTTTATGAATGCATGTTCAAATACAATGCATATTGCTGTAAGTAAAGCAAACGTTTCGCGTTATTTTATTTAATAATAATATTTACAGAAACATATACACATAAGTATACACAATAAGATTTTATTATTTCTTTTTTTGACTCTGCTCATATTTATGTTTATTTCCAAAATCGTTGTAGCCAATTATAAAGGTACGCTATTATTAAGGTATTATTTTTTTTTATTACCTATAATTTATAACCTACAATAAAAATAAAAATAAATAATGACGAGTGTATAATATTTAATTTCATACTCTATACGACATAAATTATTGAGTAAAGATTAAAAGATATAAATTGTTTTAAGACAATCTAGTTAGTTTAATACGTTCTCTTGCAAAGATAAACCAATTATCTAATACAAATAAAATAAAATACAATAAATACTTTGTTATTATAAAGAATATCAACTGCAGACTGTAGTGTTTTTTAAGCTGTGTATTAATCACACTATTTTTTCACGATAAATAATAGATGGAATATGTATAGTTAATAACAAGACTTTAAAATTGTTTCAGGATATTTATTAATTTTATCGGTAACAAAAGAAAAAAATTGTTACTTAAATATATTGTTAACCGTAAAAACTTATGTCAGAAATAATCTCGGTTCTGTATTAAATATTTATACACAAAGTCCTTTGAAATATAAAGTTTCACGAGTTTTATATTTCAGATTGGGAATGTAAAACTTTTTTTAAATAATATTATTGCAGTTTCATCAACAAAAAACTTAATACAATTTGGATTTTAGTATTATATTTCAGGTTTTACAATGACGTGTTGCATATTTATTAAGTAAAATTAGGGTATTTCAGGAGATACATAATATAATAATATAAAACTTTTAACATTTAGAAATTTGACACAATTGGTGGTACTCCAGTTACTATTTAGCACGGGTGCTTTTTGTATTTTATAATACTATTTGTAAAAGCTTTATAAAAACTGAAAAAGTTACAGCAATACCATTTATTACAAAAAAATATTTTTATTTTAGATTAATATACCTAAATAGTTATAAAGTAATTCTTCACATTAAAGACAATAATCGTTTAATGAATTCGGAGATAAAGGTTCTTAAAATGTCTACTATTTTTTATTTGTATAATAAAGGTTTATTTTATTTTTATAACAATTTCAACCTCATAAATATTGATAAAATATGTTTATACAATACATATATTTTAAAACAAAAGATTTATCTGTAGTGATATTATATCAATTTTTGCTACGTATAATTATTTGTGTAATGCACTAAATGCACTAATGGATATAAAATTTGTAACGTAATGCTAGGTCGATCGTATATTCGTATCCCAAACGTCTTAAAAGTATTTTAACCTTAGTAGTTTTTATAAGTGTTTTAAGTTGAAATACAATAAATAATCAGGATAATTATTTTCTTTCATAACGTTATGTTGATTAAATTTGTTGAAACTACCATAAAAGCTCGCTTCAGATGCGTATAATGGTATTAGATATTAATATAATATATTAGCATGTTACAAAAACGATCATATATCAAACACTAATTTAACTAGAATAATAGAAAAATATGGTATTTGAAAAATAATGTAAAAACTTTTTTTAAATTTATATTAAAAAAAATTAATTTTAAAAGACATAAAGGTTTGTACGAACAAACGTATGAAATGTATATAATAAATTTACAGCTTATACTAGTATGTTATAAATCATGAGTATTATGACATTTGAACGATTAAGTTTAGATTTTATTTTTTTTTTAAACGTGAGCATTTGGTAAAACAACGAGTATTTAAGAGGACACTATACCTACATGTGTATTTTCGTCTTACATAAGTAAAACATAGCATATTTTTGATAAACAGTTGCAAGTTTTGTATAGTAATCATTAATAATAAAGTGAATAGACCTATTATTAAACTTAAAATTAAGAACATTATCTGTGTATTGTAATGGAGTTTTTACGATATTTAAAATTTAAAGCGAGTTATAAGAAATTTAAATTATAATATTTTATACAAGCACTTTTAATTTGCTTAAAATATAAAATGTAAAAAAACCCCAAAAGAAAATACAAACAATATTCTTACCTTTAATTTTGATAATAAATCAAATCACTCTATTATTAAAAGTTATTGAAGAAAAATTGGAACTGTTAAACACAAAAGTGCTATATTTTTTTATATTAGTACCTCTTAAATACAAACCAACACATAAAATAAATATATATATAATATATATTTGTTTTAACTTTTTATATTCATAATTTATACTATCCAGCTTAAAACCGTTTGTGATGGTCCATGACGCACTTTATTTTCCTTATAAAAGTTTGAACAATCAACATTTTTTTATTAGCAAAAATTGTTTGTACGTTAGTATTTTTCCATATATTTTCATGATTATATTTTTATAGTATTTATTAAGATACTGTGCACTGGTGGATAAAAAGTATAATTTAATATTTTATTGCTATTGTTTAATTTTACACAAGTCTGAAGAAAATCAAAAAATAAAGAAATAATAGAAAATATAGATATAGGTTTTCGCAATTTTAACAAAACTTTTTCATAATATTAGTCTGAAGAATAATCTTCAGAGAATTAATAAAGTGTTGTGAAAATATGAGTATAACAATAAACCTAACTGTAAAGAAATTATGTATAAAAAAAAAAATAACTGAAAAATGATTAATCGAAAACTCTTACTCTTTGTTGCTGAGCAAGTTTCAAACTCTCCTCGAAATGCTGATGGACAGCTGCCTCGGCTTGTTGCTTTTCGGTATGTTCGCGATTGCCTCTCTGGTGACGGTTTATCATCCGTTCGATTTCCACCTGCCCATATTCGTTATTTGAACCATTTTCGATGGGCACACCTCCACTCCTGCTTTTGCCACCGCCAGCAGAGCCTGGCACGTACTGCGGTTGTTTAGCTCTTTTCATTTCTTTGTAAACGTCCTTTTCCGCATTTCCTCTGCGACAAAAAGGAAAAAAACGATATATGATAGACAACACAATATACTCGTACAGACAAGCTCGTTATATGAAAATCGGAGCAGGTTATAGCATGTTTTTTTTATGTCGTATGTACGATATACTTTATTTGATATAGTGTACAGACGACAATTATTATACCTGACAACTATACAGCGAGATATTATAATATATTTCATATATTTGTCATGTGTACATTTCAGTGTTTACAAACTTCTTTTCGTAAACAGATTCACGTTCTTCAACTTTACAAAATAAACTCGATCAACCCGTCGTTGTAAATTGCTTTATTTCATGCTCGAGTTATAAGTTCATACGTATTTTATTTCAGATTCATGAGCGGAATAATAAATTTATTGATTTTACAATCACGTGTATTTTTTTAGTTTTATTTCTATAAATCTCTCAATGATCAAAAAGCTTGAAAATGTAATCTAAAATCTCTCATATAAATTGTTCTTGTAATTATGTAAAAATATTTAAAAATACATAGACACAATTTATTTTTAAAAACATATGAAATTTGAATTTTGATAAAATTCTTTAAAATCACGAAAGCTTGCAAAAAATAAATTAAATAATCTCTAATAATTATTAAATGTTGTATTATTATGACTAAGGCTTAAAAAATAATACAGAATTCCTCATAAATAGTCCTTACTGAAACCAAAAAAAATGTATAAGCGCATTTAAATTTTAAATTAAAATGAAATTAAGTAACTTAATTTACAAGAAACTATATGTTCATTATTTTTTTATAATTCACCAACATCGTGGAAACTTAATACTTATTCTTCTATTATAATTTAGACCTCGGTACAAAATTATTATTATGGCATACAATTACTGAAAATCTCAAACGACGGTGCCCCTACTGATTATATTATCACAAAACAATGGTAACAATATCATGATTAACATATTAGTCGAAACGTTTTGAAGTAAGTTTTACACCGTTCGCACTCATTAAAAATGTTTTTAAAACAATAGTTTTTCTATTACTCTAATCGTTTTTTTTTTTTTTTTTTTTTTTAAATAAATAGTTTAAAGTAAAAATATTATCTTAACTCAGTAAGTTTTATTTAAATACAATAACAAGTGTCACATACATTGTGAATTTGTAACTTTAAATTCTTTGAATAACTTAATATATTATTAAAAATACAATCTATCCCTACCTTACATATAACTATTTTAATTTAGGAAATTATTAGTAAAATTAAACATTAGTAATAACTAAATTATAATCATTATGCAGGGAATATTTATTTGGTTAAATAACCAATTTAACCTATTAAAAATTGTTATATACAATGTGGTTAAAAAAAAAAAAAAAAAGAAGAAAACTAACCTAATGTAAAATTTAAAAATGTATAAATATGATTATAACATAACGTATTATTTTACTAATTAATAAATAAGTTGATTAGAAAACTGATAAACTAGTATTGTGCTCATATTTGAAACAATATTATTTATTATACACCCGTGTTTTACCTGCTATTTGGTTTGTACTGTTCATTAGGGCGATGTTGGTGGTAATAACTGTTGGCTGCTGTAGAATTATTGTTGGCGTTTGCCACGGCAACGGTTGGTGGTTTCCACAGCATTCCGGCTGCGCCTAGGGCCGGCTGCATCACAGAAGGTGTTGGTGCCTGAGGTGGCATCGGTGGCGGTGGTCCAACAGACGGCGGAGGAAAAGGCTGATATGGCAACATCATCTGTGGCATTTGCGCCGTGTTCGACATGAAAAGGCTCTGGTGCTGAACGCTGTCCACGTGTCTTATGGGACCATTCGGCGACTGGAAAGCACAATATAGCAAGTGAATAGCGGCAAACGAAAACACAATATTATAATATTATTTCAAACGATTGATATGCGGCAGCAATACCTATGTGCACCTTGAAAGATAAGTACGTAATATTCAATTTCATTTTGACGACAGGTTAACGATATAAAATGGCTAATATCTTGACAATTATTATCGTATTTTACTAACGATAGGGCGCACATGGTAACATTAATGTTCAATATACGTGAAATACGTACACGTATTATCATAGATTTTAAAATATACTAAAATACTAAATATTCTAAAATCAATGGTATAATACAAATAAAAACTAAATTAAATTCCAATAGAAATAAATAAAACAAAATTTAGATATTGTGAAAGCTTTTTGAGAGTTAATGTCAGATACACAAAGACAATAAGTTTTTTTTTCTTAAAACAATTAAGATTTCCCAATCAAAGTCGAGGTAGATAAAACTTTGTTTTGTTCACTATTTTACTGTGTGTGTACCCGGAACATAATAATAGCTTGTAAAATCAAACTATAGTGGACAAAGATTATTCTAATATGCAACTATTAATAATTATAATATAATATTATAAATATGTCAATTTCAAACATTAAGTCACCAACCATCGTTCAATGATCGTTGGCCGACGATAAATATTAAATTGATAGCGATAGAATTCTTTTGATTGAGACATGCTCAAGTGTAGAAATACAAATTATAATTATTGTAATGCAAATAGATGCAAATAAAAATGTACGTTATGCAACCCACCTAATGTGTTTAAGTATCTAAAAACCATGCAAAAATAATTATTAATTTAAACACTTTAACAACATATGAATGCATTAATAACAAATCTATGTATATATATTATATATAAAAACGATTGATTCAAAGCTAATCATATTATGTTATTTATAGTAGTTTTGACATTCGCGTAGCAGGTAATAATGTTATCTTGTAATAAAATTGTAATTGTAGCAGGCGATATCTATCAAATTTTATAAATATACCAAATGATTAACTATACATATCTTCTGTATAGGATCACCTTGGTCGATAAAATGGACTTTTACTTTTGATTATTAGTTATCTATTATATATTTATTACATATATAATATACGGGATTTACACCAAATGTGGATAATTCGAGACCCTATTATGATCATTTAGGTACGCGGAATTCCGATAATAATGTTTACCCACGAAGTTCAATATTATTAGTTGCACTGATTGTCCATTACGAAAAACATAATATTTTAATGAATTACAAATTGACGATCTGAATTATTTTTAAAATCCTTATTATCTAATGAAAAACAAATTTTAATAAATGGCGTATGTATTCAAAAAAACTGCTGCACGAATATTGATATTTTTTTAAAAAAGTTTAAATATTTTAGTAAAACGAACATAACGCTTCATATTAATATATTTAAAAAAGGTATATAAATACATTTATATTATATTATACTATCTACAACCAAGGGCGTTTGGGTAATCTTTGAGTTTGATAATGATGTGAATTAAATCCGACATAAACTTTGGACACTATAATCGGGTTGGGATAGAAAGAAGACTATGTGTCTATGCTTATACGCGAATAACATAATATTTCGTATAAACAATTTACTGATAAATCATAAGGTGAAAATAATGAAAGGTTTTAAAATGGTATGTTTCGTTCAATTTTTCAAACCCTACCCATAACACGCTCCCAATAATATAAATACGTCACCTATTTAAATGACACGTAACGCGTAATAATATAATGAATGACTATCATACATCAAAGTAGTCTATGTACACAACACCTATATTCTGAAACGTAATATTGATGGAATAATTATGTTTTAAAATAATATAAACGTGACGTGTGATAAAATGTTGCCCTGTGCGACTGACTGTTAAGTACTATATTATTGTAGAGGGTTGCACTCGGAACCCACACGTTGCGCTGACTTATCACGTCGCTGGCGAGATAGGTACCTAGTTCGTATTTTCATTTATGACCCGACGAGAGTTTATGACAACCCGGCGAGGTATACTCGTATAGTTGTTTATTTTATTACTATAATCATTATCCGTGTATAGGTGCTATTATGTTTTCCACCAAAACAAACATCGATAATAACAAGTTTAAAAAAATATAATATACAATATACCCACTCGGCGCGGTTTATTGTAGCTTGAATATATAATAATAATACAATGTACACTTTTAGGACACTACTTCCCAAAAGTGTCGTCGAATATGTTACTTTTATGAACTCTCAGCGCATGTATAACGTAGGTAGGTACATACTACACAAACTACCAGGTTATATCACATTTTTAAATCATGAGTTTTGATCGAATTTGAGATACATTTTTTTCGTCTATCTAAAAGTCAATTTATATTAAAATAGTTTGAAAAATACGTATTTTTCACAGAGTTGAGTTTAATATTACAGAACTGTATGAACGATAAAAAGAGGAGTGTCGATAAAGAATATTATTTGATATTCTCGAACGAAACTTTTAAAGGAATAACGACTTTTAATAACTATACTTATAAACATATAGACTTTTAAACGCGTATGGACCAAAAGCTAATAACAATATAAAGTATTATTTATTCATTTTATTTTTCTGTTTATAACAAACATAAAGTCAGACGCAAATATTTGAAATCAATAAAAATAAAGGTACTAGGTTTATATAAATAGTAAGCTGTGTAATAATAATAAAAAAAATGCTCATAAAATAAATATTTCATATTCAGATCTGTATAATATTACATACCTATATAATAATCTGCTGACAATCACCTATAATTTATTGAATGGCCAAAGATTTTTGGACTGAAGTCCGATTAATCAGCGTTTATTTCGTTATCTGTTTAGTAGTATTTATACTGTCAGAATGAAAATTATTGAAAAGTAAACAGTTGATTTGACATTGTGGCTCATAAAGCAACCAAATTATATTTAACACAGAAAAAAATCATTTTAATTAAATTGTATTCCATTAAATCGCATTTTATTTATGTGTACATATAAATGTTACATATAAGTTATAGTGCAAACTCTACTTCGGATTAAAACGATGAAATAAAAATGACAAACTGAGACATTTCTGCTTAATAAAAGGAGACTATAAATGCAATATTATATAATATTGGATTTTCGATATTCGGTTTATCACGAAGTAAGAGAATTAAAATCAAACCAGAAGACTAAATTATTATTTATTACTATACAAATAAAATGATATTATTTACAAGTTAGTTATTTTTTTATTTATTTATTTTTTAACATTGGATAATGGTTAACTAAAAGTGATAATAAATTAACAAATATATAATTTAATACGTCTCTATTAATGAAAATAAAAATAGAAATGCCTTATAAAAGCTTAAGGGCTGAGTAATAATTTGCAGCCTATTATTACGCATAGATACCATTAATTAACTTTAACGAGAAGAAATATTAATTTTATACCTTTTGGAGAAAGCTTTGACAAAAATTAAATTATTTTTAAATTTTGCCTTTAAACTAGACATAATTTCCAAAATATTATATTTCAACAATAAAATTCAAATTTAAGTATTTTTTAAACTATGCCTCTTCTCACAAAAACTTATATTTTAATAATTATTTTATTTTTTATTATAAAGGAGGGGCATAATTTCTTGATATTAATTTATTATTAATTTTGAGTATCAAATTATTACTTATTAGTTATTAGAACATAAATTACAACACATTACAATTGATGTACTAATTAATGAATATAATTTACATTTTTACTTTTTATAATGCTCATTATAATAAACCCGCACTTATAAAATAAGATCGAATTTTCCCCAAAAAAAAAAAAATAAATAAAAAATAAGCAATAAATATTAATATTTATTAATTATACTAGAATACATATCTTTTTTGATAAGGTATTTTATAAATTACTTTATTGATGAACAATATCATACAATAGGTCCTACAGTTATAGTTTAAAACAGTGAAGACCAACCTTTTTCTTCGGTTTGTCACTTTGGCAAACGCCAAACTTTGATAATTTTCGACCGGGCTACCAAATATAAAAGTACGAATAATCTAAATCTTAATCTTATACGTTATAATATAATTTAGTTTCACATAATAGGTATATATAATACATAAGGGTATATATTGGACTTGTTTTCTTATCTCTAATAAAAGATATCTTTATTGAAAAGATTACAAATTAAGGTACACATTGTAGGTACACATTGAAAATGTTATTAAAATATTATTTCAAAAGTTTGTAATGAGCCATATATAGAATACCTTCGCAGGCCACGAGTGGCCGCCCGCGGGCCGCGAGTTGGACATCACTGGTTTAAAAGAAGTTTTCTACTCGCAATCACTTGTAGTACAACTTAAACACAAACAACTAATCTCACTCCTAAACTGATAAAAATTTCTTAATTTAAAAACAAACTTTAATAATCTGTAATTAAAAATTATTTTAGAAAACAATAATTATTTGAAATAGGTATCAGATTCATTGCTTTATAACAAAATATTATTCTTTGTATTTTATTATGAACTTTGCAATCAAAAGAAAATATATTTGTTAAACTCACATAATAGATTTATCATTAAAAAAAAATAATATTAATATTAAAATGCATTTATTGATTAATTAAAATCAACAAGACAAATTAAATAGGTAGATAGTAACAAGCAATAGCCATTTACCAAATAAATAAATTAAATAAGCAAATATACAGGGCAATTCAAAATTTATATTACAGCTAAATATCTAAAATGATTAGTAATTAATTTTTTTACAATTTTTGAATTTTGGTGGCCAACTTGAGAAATTCAAATTGGAATCAATACTTTTTTTATAATTATAATGTAAAGATATTTTTGGAGTAGTTCGATACATAAAAAAATCGAAATTTTAACGAGTAATTTAAAAGGAATAAGAATTATTTAAAGCTTAAGTGAGTGGAATAATAGACCAACATATTGCAAGGTATCCCCATCCTACTTTACTCTGCTTATCAAAACTTTAAATACTTATCTCATAAATTATTCATTCAAAATTCGATTTTATGTATCGAAATACTCTGAAAAATATTTTTCTCATTAAAATAGGTTCCCATTTGAATTTCTTAAGTTATCCTTGAACCCCTTTATCAAAAATATTGAAAAGAATATAAAAATTACTAATTGTTTTAGATTTTTTTAATAAAAAAAAAACTTTTGTGTTAAATTGTTTTCTCTATTATAAATACTTAAATAATAAAATGGCTATAACATAAATTTTAAATCACTCTGTATATAAATATATTTATTTTTATAAATAAGTTATTATATATCAAAATAACAGTTGTGAACTAAAACTCAAATACTGGACTTGGGACGTACGATAAACGGAACAGAACTATAAATATTATACAATATATACCTATATATAATATTATTATCGCTTGTAAATAGTTAAAAATAATTTAAGATGCAGTTTCATTATTTATTGACCTACAAATAAAAAAAAAAAAATATATATTTGGTTTAATTTTATAAAAGAAACAATTTTTATTTTATTTTAAATGATCAAAATTTCAAAACTCAACATAAAATATAAGTACAAAAAAATGTATTTCTTATCAAGTTCTAAAATAATATTTTTTTAAACAATCACTAATATAATGAAATTATATTTTTCTATTTGTTATTTTAGTTGAAATTTTAATGGAAAACTGTAAGTTTATGATACTATTTTAAATTTTGTCATTAAATAAGAAAATAATAATACTAACACTAAAGAGAAATACATAGAGTATTTTAATTATTTTTAGTCATAATAATATTTAAAACACAAAATTCGTAAGAACAAATTTTAAATGTTATGTCCGTTTTATTAAACACGTATAAATGATGTCGTGCATGAACACTATCCGCGATGGTCGGATATTATCTGGTCGAAATGAACAAGAATAAAATAAACCATTAAACCTGTTAAAAATGTTAAATCTATTGCTTACAGAACGTAAGCATAAGTCACATTAATTATTACAATATAATATACGATTATACGTATAAAAACAAACAGAAAGGTCGTTTACGTGTTACAAAGGGAATCACATGCGGGAAAAAGCCTTTCGACTGATGAGCTGCAGTTGGTCATCACATCGATATCTTATATTATCTACTTATATGTAATATATGTAGACACCAATGGGATAAAACATGCAAAGCAAATTATCAGCTGTGGTACATAACATTTTATAACTATTTAAAGTTTATGAAATATAATATGATATATTAGAGTTTCGAAGTATTTGTTATTAAAACATTGTTATCGTTCTGCAACCGTTAAGTACATAGTGTATAATGGTAATACCCGGTAACCGTTGGTTGGTAGTATTTCATTTCAAAATTCTCAGTTTAACATCGATATTTCTTTGTATTTTGGTTTATTGACAAATTATTACATTAAGAAAAGTCTAGTACGCAGTAAATTATTTATGGAAAAGGGAAATTATACTCTGAAATGAAAATATCGAATTATTGTGTCGACCAAGTCAAGTGGTCAACCGTGTCAAATGTATTTTTTCAAATTAATTTAAAAACGTTCTATAAATATGTTGTTAAAAATTAATTTTAACAAATTATTCATCAAAATATTTTAAATAATGGCATTGCGTCTTAGTTTTTATAACGAAAACATACAAATTATTATCGTTAAAACATAATAATATGTAAATAAAATGTCCAACAGTAAATAAATTATTATAAAAGGATCGCTAAAAAAAATGGCTAACTTTTTTATTTTATTTTATCCACGTGTAATTTTAGAATATATTAATTATCGATGCTACAATTAATAATTGTTGGGAAAGATTAATTATTATTATTATTTACCTTAGTTTGAAACTTTGTTACGATACATATAAAAAATGTCTGAGCAAGACTGACGGTCGCCTGGTAGCGGTGCGATAACAAACAAGTAACATTATTAATATTATTAAAGAAAACGTCTCATACGAAACCACTGTTATTGCATACAATGTTCTGTAGTGATAAAAATAATATATACTAATTATTATAAATCGATAATAAAAAAAAAAAATTCTATTACGTAGATGTATACAATCAGCTTCTATAGGTCAACTATTAATGTTTTGTAAGGCAAAAAAGAATGGAATGTGTTTCTTTTTGAGAATATGCTGTGCATTCGTAATAATTTGTATAAGACGTAAATTGAATTTATTGCTTTTGCGAGACAAAAGTTACCTATATAGAAAAATAATAAACTTAGAAACAACTGCAGTGACGTCAAAGTTTTCCGTCGACTAAAATCACAATATACATCAATTAATTAATATCGTATAACACTATACTATAAGTAGCGCGCTACTAATATGCAAAGAAAATAACATAAAATGTAATTTAATTGGCTTGTTGTTTAAAAATTTTTTATCATCAATAAGCGTTACGCGTCTTATTATTTAAGAAAAAAATATATCATTAAAGCGTAGGTAGCACATAATATTTAATAGGTATATTATTAGGTTATGTTTTACTTATTTAATTTTTCATCAAAATCCATAGATAAAATATTATAAGTAGGTACCTACTACCATTTATTTGTACAAAAAATCAGCCACACAAATTGAAACTAGACTGTGCTTGTAGCAGTATGTCAAATTCGCAACTAGTTCCTACCATTGCGACGTCCTTTTAATGATAGTGTACGATAAGCACAAAATACGATCTATCTAATAATTTATTATTTGGATATATTTCGTTACGGTCGAAACGCTCTCTTCACTTCAGATTGTGTTGCCATATCACCCGTCTGCATTTTTTTTTTCGGTCAACGAAATTACTCAAATTAGGTACGCACATTACTGCAGATAATAATATATTAATGATCATTTATAATCGAACGTTATTTCAAGTTAAAATATCTGCGTAAACTTTTTAAATAAAATTTTTAACTGATTTATTTCGTATAATTTGACTATTTACTTTATTAACATAATATTTTGTATCCAATAAATATTAATTAATAGTAATTAGTTATAATATTCTAAGATCAAATGACAAAAAAAAAAATTCTATCGACAGCATTATTGTAACTGATTTGTCAATACAGTTACAGTAGGTACCTATATAATATCTTAAATTTATAAACCGTTTTCAATAACAGTTCACGTTTGTACACGATTCGTTTTTGAACCGTTTCGAAACGTGTTTAATAGATTTTCATACTTATTTAATATTTTAAAATTACAATCACTTACATGGCATTTAGCTGTTTTTTCGGTTTTACGTAAATGTATAGTGAAATATGTAAATGAAATCGTTTATTTTTATTATTCTTAATATACGAAATCTATTATGTATAGTTTTACGAGAATATACCGACATGATTTGGAACTCTATAATATTACCTAAATGGACTACCAATCTAAAACATCATAATACAGCACTTAAACGTTTTTCGCACATTGTAACACTTTACGCCGTTAACGCTCCCCTATACGTAATTGCAGTTTTGAGTTATATTTACTTTGAAAAAAAAAAAAAAAAATGTTTTTCACGGACAGTTTTTTTTCTCTAAATTTTTAGATTTGAAAAATCTTATTATCAAATGTAGCTTTTAACATACAAAACAAATAATGTTTTCGATCCAATCATCGTCGATTTGTGTATGCGCGCGTGACAATATGATAATATAATATATAATATGGTACGAATGCATTTTTTCGGTGCATTCGAATAAAGAACCCAATCACGTCCTCGCTTACGACGATAGGGGTGTTATGCGACACAAAAAACAAACAAGCATGCCATCACTCAAGCACCATCGCACCATCGCACAAGCACTAAAACACGCAAACACAAACGCAAACACACATACACACACACACACACGCACACACACACACAAACGCACACACGTACCTGCAGCATGTGAGGATCTCTCCAGACGGGTATATTGTTGAACGGAGACGGCGGCGTTTGATGTTGTTCGTTGGACGGCGACGCGGCGGCCGCATGGTCGTCGGAACCGCTGAACGCGCTGGAATGCGATCCGGACCGTTCGTCGCCCGAGTTGAGCGTGCGCGACGAACTGAGACCGGAATCAGACCGGTCGGCGGTCTCGGCAAACGGCGTGGCCACAGCGGCCATGGTGTGCAGCACGTTGTTGGACAAGGACTGTTGTAGCTTCGACGGAAATGGTGCCGAGTTGACGACGACAGCGGTCGTGGTAACCGTGGTAGTGATGGCCACGGCGGTGGCTGAGTTGATGGACGTGGTGGAATTGACGGCCGAGCTATTGGCCACTACGGCTGGATACTGGTGATGACGGTTGCGATATTGTTGGTATTTTTGCAGCTGGTGTTGCTGCTGCTGCTGCTGTTGTTGTTGTTGTTGTTGTTGTAGTTGCTGCTGCTGCTGCTGCTGCTGCTGTTGTTGTAGTTGCTGTTGCTGTGGCTGTTGCTGTTGTTGCTGTTGCATCTGATGATGTCGTAACTGATCGTGCCGTTGTTGCTGTTGGTGATGATGGAGTTGTTGTGGCTGTTGTTGCGGATGGTGTTGATGATTCTGTTGCTGATACATTTGTAGTTGTTGTTGCTGCATATGTTGCTGTTGTTGCTGCTGCTGCTGTTGAAAATGGTGCAGCGGCGGCGGTGGCAGCGGTATCCTTTTGGTTTTGTCGCCGTTAGTAGTGGCGGCGGCGGCGGCGTCTTCTGTACCGCCACCGACTGCGCTCCGAATACCGCCCAAATCTTCGTCCATGTAATGTGGTGGTGCCCAGTGCACATTCCCATAAGCATTATCGACGGGACCTGCCCACGCCAGAGGTTCTCCGTGTCCTGACGTCTTTGTACGATTTTCTACACTTTGCCCTAGCCAAATTTGCCGATGGCACGACGCACTGCAAACAACATCACCACACATCGATATTCAATTACATATACATTTGTCTCAAAATATCGTAATATTATTACAAGTATGTTATACATGACGCTGAGCTATGTATAACAATTATTATTAAATTAATGATACGCGAAAAGTTGGGTTCTCGTCGGCGACCGAAACGCACACACATTATCTGGAGTAGGTACCTCTAACCATGACAAATTAGATTTGTCAAGCCCCTAACCTATATATCCTCTTTCATATTGGTATTTAAAAAGTTTAATACGTTTCAACCGGATAAAAATATAAGCATTATATTATATAGATCTGACTTTCAGTTTTCAGAAAAATTCCGTTAATTTATAATTACAAATCTCCCCGTTTTAGCCCTTTTAACGGACTTCGAAATACCTGCAAAGGTATACCCGCGTATAGGTTTCTTCCAGAGAATTAACTCTATATTGTAAAACCAAAATAATACTTAATATATATATATATATATATATATAGGTACCTATATTCGATTAAACCTTTTAAAGTATTATATTACACAGATCATATAGAATTCCTCATAAAATATAATACCTGCACGATGATTTACGACCATATTATACGTAGTGTATATCACGATTCCCAAACAATACTATTATTATTACTGTTATTATCATCACGAAAGATGTTTAGTCTGTGTGCGCTAATACTTCAATAAAAATATACGAAAACGTGTACTTAAATGAATTCGACCCTACCATAAAATTTTATACTTTTTAATGGTTCCCGAGACAAAAACAAACATTCAATAATAATAAATAAATACTATATGAATTGGATAAACGATAGTCATCTAACGACTCATCTCTGCACATATTCCCGCATCTGCAAGTCATTATATAATGACATATTTTAATTATACAGTAATACTTTATGTATTAGGGTAGTAGTCTAAGACACTTAAGAGGGTATGCGCTATAATATAAATTACCTACAAAATAATTATTATCTTAAAAACTATTAAGAAAATAATTATTTTTGGCGGCATCGACTGTTTATATAATGTATAATTTTTTTTTATATGTATACAGAAAGAAATCCCGACAGTCGAAGATCTTTATATATTATTGTTGCACTTATATCACCTAAAATTTATAGATGGGGGAAAAACTCGCTTTGTCTTATTAAATGTATTCAAATCATTTAAAGTATTCATTTTTATTGTATAACTAACTACTTTTGTTGCGTTAAAAATATTAAAATAAACTGTACCGTAATTATTAGTATGAAATCTCCATTTACTTAAAACAGTTAAGACATTCACAGAAATTATTAAATACGCTAAAGTGATAAAAGGTCATTACACCAGTTGCATTATTATAAAGTAGACACGATAACATAATACTAAAATATATATAAATTATAATATATATATATATATAATAATATTTTATGACGTATACATAAATAGTATATTACACTATATAACATATCTAATCTGCTGTTGTCATTATAATCAATTTGTGTTTAATATTATAGAGGTAAAGGCAACAGGCATAAAGCTATATAGGTAATATTACCGTTAAGAACTATAAATTATATTTTGTCAGTATAGTTAAAACTTAAAACGAGCGAACACGTAAATACAAACAAAATGTAATGTACGAGTATAGTACCTGCTTATTATGATAGTGTACTGGCCCCATTGTACAAACCTATACAATGTCTTATTAAACAAAACTTAATTAAAATAGTGTCTGATTCGGCGTTCAATACGCGTTATTGCAGTATTGACGGCATAAATTCAAACACAAATTTATAATTAAAGCAAATGTTAATATTATTATGTTATTACTTATTTAATAGATAAAACTGTATGATGTATTAATTTCAAACAATATTAATTAAGCAGTATTTTTAAAATATTTAAAATAAGTGGTTACTGATTCCTAAGCTAATAAATTTAAAGTGAAGCACATAAAGTTTATTAAACGCAATTCAAATTTAAAGTATCTATCTATACAATAAAAACTTTATTTAAGTTAAACCTATTGTTAGATTATTACAGTTAAATTAATTTACAATGGAAGTATAACGAATTCGTGACAATTTTGCATTGAAGCCTATTTCAAAAAATAATTAACATCTTATAACTTAAAAACTTAGTTTATTTTACGAACAATTTCTAATCAAGTTAAAGGACACACAATTAATATAATTGCTTTTATTTAATTCGAATTTTTTGTTAGAATAATTAAAGAAAATCAACTACCCATAACAATAAATGTATAGACTTTCCAAGAAAGGTGTTTAATATAAAACTTTTGAATTACTTTCGCTGCATAAAAAAATGTTTTCCGAACCGTTTATAAATAAATAACTGTTCTCAAGCAAATAACTATGTCCAAATTTAAAACAACCAAATATTTAGAAATTAATTTAATGCAAATTCAACTGAATACGTAATATGTCATTTGCATGAAAATTTCTTTGATTTATAAAACAATTAGCTAGTGATAAAATTAATTCAACTAACATGGCAATTAATTTGTGATTACTGTACTATTTGACAATTAATAATAAGTAAATAATGAAAATCGAAAAGTATTAAAATATAAAAAGAGGTTAAGTATGCCTATTTTAACTTACTGCAGTATAATTTAAAAATACTTCTCCGAATTTTAGACACACCTGCAGGCCTAACCGGTATCGGTGAGCATGGTCAGTAATCGACAACACAAAGCAAAATATTTATCGAACAGAAAACACGAGAATTCGTTACTCGACCCAGTATCTCTGTTCAAAAATATAAACAAAACTAGCATTATATATATATATAGAAAGAGAGATACGTTTGTTGTATACAAAAAGAAACATCTTGCGGCAACCCACCGAACCAAATCCTGTGCCTTATGAAAACAACAATTCCTTTTTGGAGCGAGTATATAATATAATATAACCTACACAAAATAAGGACAGTGTTTTTCTTCAGCTAAACCGAGGGTTGTTTACTAAACCACCTGTTTGAGTTCCGTGAAAGACCATTGGCATAGTTCTATATCCCCTCAATCTCCAATATCATAAAGCCAATACATACTGTAGGTATATAAGTAAAATTCACGACAGTTGTTTGATATAAATTGGTTGTTTTCACTACGTTACTGGTATGACATATATCTATGGTTATGCGATTATGAGTCAGCAAAATGCCAACGTACGTTTTAATGGTTTACACTTGTGTGAGTATATATAGACTTAAAAATACACCCACGATGATGATTTAATCACGCTAATAATTTATAATGCGGGTTCTGTATAGTAAAATTACAAGTACGAGTATATTCTCCTTCTTAAAAAAATTTTTTTTTTCATAACAAAAAAAAAAAACAATAATTATTTCAGATTTATGTAATTAATTGGATGAAAAAAAATCAACTGTATCGTTATTTTTAATTGCTACAAAACAATTTTTAAATTCAAGTTTTTGTAAGCATATTGCAACGGACCTCAAGTTAACTACTTATCAATGCATTTTAAAAATAAACTTAAACTTTTGAAATAGGTAATTAATTATACAGTAAATCGGTAGTTTATTTTTATCATATTGTAACACATATATTATATGTATAAGCGCATAAAGCTGATAATACGTTTCTATGTAAGCAAACAATATTTTTTTAATTCAGAAAAAAATGATAAAGGTAAAAATGATTAAGATAACCTACCTTGAATGTATTTTTTTATTTTATACGGTAATTTAATTTATGATGAATTCACTTTAAGAGATAATAATAATTATTATAATTATTATTATCATTTTTATAATTTTAATTATTTTTTTAAAGTAATTTACACACTTTATAGTTATTACATCACTAAAATAATTTTTAATTTCAATAATGTTAATATTATACACTCAAGTCCTAATATAATATACATAGTTTCACTCCTGATTTGTCAGTGTTCAGATGTTTGTGTTCAAAGAAAATAATAAGAAAAATGCTTAAAAAGTATACCATTTTAAAAAATATGGTAAAATATAATTAATTATGGAAAAAAATTTCAGATAACTACTTACAAATTAAAATTAAGAATTGTAATTGGAAATTTTAATAAATTTATAAAATTAATATTTTTTTTCCTATAAAAAGCATACGTAATATTACAAAATATTGAGCTAAAACAACTAAATATTCTTTAATGTATGTAATATTTTTCAAATGTTAAAAATAACTTTATTTGTTGAACACTATCATGTTTAATGAACCATTTTAATTTTTCATTCCCGTCAGGCTACTAACACTCAATGAAGATACGGAAAAAATATAAAAATCCTGACTCTTATTGATTTCGTTAAATAATATATTTAACATCATAAAATGAAATACATTTTATGTCTTACAACTTATTTTATCTGCTAGTTAGTTATCATGCCAATACCATTATTATGTCTGGGAATATTTACAAAATTAAGATATTTGTATCGGATGAAGAAAACATTAAATAAATTAAATTCAATAGATAAAGCCAATAAATTTAAAAATTTTCTATACATGTATCAAACGATTCTCAAGTAACTATTATATTATAAACTACAATGACGCTAAAATGCGAGATATCTTAATAAACATTTAACTCTTGTAACTTAAGTTCAAATAATATTCAGTCTTCACCATAAGCTATAGGACATCAAGTTTCCACAGAAACATTAAATTGTATGTATTAAGTACCTACATAAAGTTATCCGAAAGAACAGATCACGTTATCATGGTAGTGACTCAAGGAAAGTTTATAGGAAACCGTTTACTAATATGATATACTGAAGATATTAATTTAAGCACTCCATTCTTAAAATAATGAGCACAAGCAATATGTACATTTAAAGTATTATTGGTACCGGCTATTGCAAAGTTATAGATCAACGATTAATAATCTTTTAAAAAAAACTATTAAATCTATTTTAATAGAAAAATGAACTCACTGAGTAAAAATTGAAAAATAAAACTTGAATACACCGTTTCATAA